AAAAAAAAAAAAACACATCCAACAGCTGGGTACATTTAGGCGTTGAGAGGCAATAGATATGCACTGAATTTCAAATGTATCACCGTTAACAATGTCTGAAGTGGTATTTAGTTACTCAAGTCATTCTCTTGGGCCAATACGGATATTAAGAGAGATTTAAATCATTAAGTGTTTTTATCAACATAATATGCTGTATTTTAGTAACCAACACATATAGCTACGATAAAAAAAAATATGATCCTAAAATGTATCAGTCTAGCTCTGCATTCATAAAAACTGAATTATAAAGTGCATCGTTATTTTCCTGAGGATATTTTGTTTCCAGCTGTATAATTTAAGCACCCTTCATGAGTCTTGTAATGATATGTATATAAATAAATGATTAAAAGGAGGATGTGCGTGCCTGATGCGTGTTTGTATGAGTGCAGTAATGCATACCTGTGACCTAGACTGGGGCAGGACGGTGCTGCTCATGCTCTGTGTGCTGCTCATGCTAAAGTTGAGGCTCTGGGAGGAGCTGAGGGACTGGGTTGGCCCCATCAAGTCAAACAGGTCTGCTGAGGCAGGACCGGAGCCTGAAGCCGGGGCGAGGGCGGGGGCAAGACCTGCCATGGCTCCAAAAAGGTCATTTCCGCCGGTGTCGACAGTCTGAGCATATGCTGGCATCTGACCTCCGGGGAAAGCGTTCCACTCTCCAAACTCTCCATTACTGCTCGAGGAAGGTGCTGCTGCACCAAGAACGAGAAGAAAAAAAACAAAAAAAAAAAACAGTTGCATGAATGTCTATATTTGCCATCTTAACAGTGATGTTTGTGTTGTGAGCTGCAAACAAAAGTCACGAAAGCATCTGGACCCGTCATATCAATTAAGAATAAACAATCGAGTCTTCCGCAAGGCCAGTCTTGCTTTATCCGGGGCATTCTCAGTGACCACTGGTGCCCCACGTTTTAAATTTTCATTGAACTGGCCCTGCTTGTTGTCTCCATCTCTCCTCTCAATCTCTTTCAGCTCCCTCCACCCCCACCGACATCTTCCTCTGTCCCTGTCTCCTTGTCATCCATAACAGGAGTTGATGTGTGTCTGTTCTTGTTATGCAGAGCAGGTAGCAGGCTCCATATGGCCGCAGCTTCTCTCTGAATATTCTAGCAGTATGGCTGCAACAAGCACAGCACACACATGCACACTAACGCAAAACAAAAAAAAGAAGAAGAAAGTCTTGAAACCAACCAGATACTGAGGAGAGGCCGCCGGAGGCAGCAGGTGAGGAGAAGTCAGCAAATCCACTGATCAGGTCTGCATAGAGATAGAGACACAAACACATCAATTTTAAACAACCGAGCTCCAGGTGTCATTCTACCATAGTTAGCATTCCTTCAGTGTCAGAAGTGTAGGGGGGAAGGGGAGGGGTGGTGGCAGTGGATAGGTGGAGAGGACCAAACATCTGTTCAGTGCTCCCGCCCTCTGCATTCACCAGGGACTGCTCCAAAAACATCTGGCGCACTTAGTTCCTATACATCAAGTCCCTCCCCGTGCTGTCCACAAAAATGTGAAGCTAGCATCAGCAGCTGGGCACCGTCACTGCAGAGTGTAGTCCTGCAGTCACTGTGGAGTTACTGGTGTCTAGCTTGTTTGCTGAGAATAAGTAACATATTTGGGGCTTCTGGAAGGCGTAGTTTTGCTGGTGTCTGGTATCAGTTGCATTTCTGGGGTTTCAGCATAGGAATTGATCCAAATCTTCTCGGGTGAGACAGCAACAACAAGCGCATTTCACAAAATGTCAGGGTGTTACTTGAAGTTAGTGACATTATACCTGTGGCGGCCGGCTGGCTCGGTGTGGGGTCCACCATAAATAGGTCAGCTAGGATGGTACTGGAGGGCTGGGGGGCTGCTGGCTGGAATAAACAACATTTACAAAAAGGATCAGGGTCCATGCACAACTATACACGCATCAATAAAGTTGTATCTTCTATGTTGGCATGTGCTCTAGCTACCTGTTTGGTGGTGGTGACTGGGCTCTTATCTCCCACATAGTGGGCTGCGGCTCCAAGGTCTACTGTCTTAGACGGGACCCCTCTCTTCCGTGTTGCTGTAGTCTCTGTTGCTTGGACTATGTGTACACTCTTGGTGGTTACGGTCTCCTCTTCATCTTTGAATTCTTTTCCTGACTGGCCATTGTGAGACGAGCGGCCCCGGTCCTCCTCGTGGTCACTATGGAGACAATAACGGCCCAGGTTGTGGATACAGATCGTCTTCGTGTTTCCATGAAGGAACAAAAACAACCAAAGTACAAACCATGTTCTGGATGAGGCCTTACTGTTATTTGTACTTTTTTTACTCTCTTTGTGGCTATTTATGGCCTGATCAGTATTTCTTTTACCATTTAATTTACAGGTATATTCACAATGTATTTGAAAAGTTTGACTTGTTTCTCTAATGTGAAAATAAAGGGCTATTGAAAACAACGCTCAAAAAACAGATTGAGAGAGAAATCAAGTGCCATTTTTTCTATTTTTTTAAATTTCGGTGGTGGGGGCTTCTCGTTTGTCCATATTTGGAACATGGTTTGAACCTTTCAGTCCCAAATGGCACTAAATATAAATAAGAGAACTTGTCCGTCTCCAACCTAAATCGATCCGGTGAGTCGTCTCTCTCCTTCTTCCTAAATCTGCTTATGGTGTCGTCGATGGTGGTGCCGATTTTGTCGCTGATCTCCCCCAATTTCTCGCTGAAGGGGAATTGTCCTTTATTCCTCTCCCAGTCGTCGTCCCACTTTCCCCGGCTGTTATCGCTGGAGTCGTACCTGTCCCCCGCTGGAGAGAAGGGATCCAAGTAGGTGGAAAAGGAGATAGAAGCAAGAAAAAGAGGACATGAATTGAATTAAAACCCAAACGTTTTTGTTGATCATAAGTCCGCTTAATATTACTCAACTGAGAACTTACAGTATCGGTAACCCATACTGTCTGAGGATACCCCGATGAATTTGTCTTTGTTCTTCTTGGACTTTTTCCGTTCATCCCTTAGCCTGTCGTCATCCTGGACAAAATCTACCATCTCCTTCACCTTCTGACGCACATTCACACCTTGGTCCTTCCCGTTCTCATCTAGAGACACAGAAACATAATGAATGAATCAGCAACTCTTTGTGTTAACTTTACAATGTATTCAAACCACACACAGGCAATAAATAAGAGTATCGGGAAAGTTGAAAGTTATTTTTTTGCAAACTGCACCTCAAATACACACATGGTTGGGAAGAGTGAAAGCAGCTTTAGAGCTGTGTGTGTCTGTGTGTGTGTGTGGTTTAAGGGTTTGTGGACTAAGCAGTGCTTAGGGCCTCTACTCATTCATTAAAGCTCACACTGAAGCTATTGTTAATCAACACTAAACTCTACAATGCTGAGGTGTGGAGGGTGTCTCTCATAATCAAAGCAACATTTAAAAGTGTTTCATGCTGAGCAAGTTATTTTTAGGTCCTCCAACATGCACAGATGGTATAAATGAGAGACATAATACAGAAGGATACCTTACCTACAAAGTGGTAGCTTTCTAATGATCTGAGGTCATACAGGTGTTCTCTGGTACTGGTAACAACCCTCTCTGATCCATTCCTGATGAGATGGGCCAGCAGCAGCAGGGACTGAGAAACACAACAAGTGTTGAGTCTTAACTTGTTATGGGAACGATTTGATTCATCGCAACCCATAGCACTTTAACTGTGTGAAGCATCAGCTGTTTCTATTCAACGTCAACTGTTTTGTGAATTTCTATAGAAATATTATTCCCGCCTGTAAGTAATGAGAAAATGTGACGTTAAAGTTAACAGATGGCTCTGAGTTTTAGGTGAAATCGCAACTGTATTTGTTGCTTAGGCCTTCAAGCCCCGAGTCATAATCGAGCGAGTCTGTTTGTGGGATGTTGCAACAGTGCTGCGGCAGACCTTGTAGACTCTCCGCCAGTTCTTCTTGTTATCCCTCAGCATGCGGGCCCACAGCATGTTCATCACCTCTGGGAACTGCTCATACATGAAGGTGGCTCTGATTACATAAACATTGACAGAAGAAAGAGGAAGACGTTGTACTGTTAGGAAACATGTTTTAATCTCCAATGCCTGGCAAACAACAATTGGAGTACTTAGTCTGTTTACAGCGTTTGAAGAAAGACTACTTTGTGCTACGGAGTCCTAGGAACCAAACTCAGAAAGTATTTCAAGAGCGACAGGTTCCTTTGGGACATTTGTGTCTGTGTGCCACTGCAAGGATCAGCTAGTCAGCTACATAATTAGCATTTAAATGTCACTAACAACAGACCATCTTAACACTTCTATCTCTGCCCGAATACTGACTGCAGCAGCTTGAATGAATGCTGTACATGTTGGAGCAGTTGTGAGGCTTGTGTTCAGTGTCCGGCAAGAAAAATACTACCTTGGAAACTTTTGTGGTCAAATGTCAAAAACCAAAGCTTAAAATGGGTTCCTGTGGTTGAAATGGAGGGGAATTTCCTAAAAAGTGTTCCTGCAGTCAAAAAGAGCTTTAAAAGGAATACGTTAACCCCAAAATTAACCATTTGTATATCAATTATTCACCCCGTGATATCTTGAATTCGTGAAGAAAAACTTTATTTTTCCTCGCACGTCTCCACGGTGAAAGAAGAATAAAAAAACAGAGAAAAGTCTAGATCGAATTGAACCGAAGTAAATACAATCAAAGCCTCATTTACCCAGCAGTATGCTCACTACCGTCCAAACATGCAGTTTCACTAAACCTTACTTTTTAAAACACTCCCGCATAAACAATCTTGTCCGGCCTTTTTTTAGCTAAAATGCGTGTGTTTGGGAAGTAGTGAGCATACGACTGTATAAATGAGACTTGATTATAGTGCAGGAGCTTCGTGAGAGTTGATGCTTTGACAAGGTTTTGCTGTTGTTAAATGCGGCCCCCCATTTACTTCAGTTTGTGGATTCTTAATTCACTGGTGAGGCAAGATTTCTTTACAAATTCAAACTAACAGGTTGTGTAGCTGTTATACAAATGATCATTTCGGGGGAAATCTTTCTGCGGTTTGACTTTATGAACAAATACCCGCGGTGCTTTTCAGCGGGACATATCGAGTTGTCCTCACCTGGAGATGTCACTCATCAGTTGTCCCGATGGTCCCCATGCGTCATCATTAGTGGCCTCTCTGACTTTAGACTCCACCTCTGAGTAGTTCATCACCACGTTGGTTCTGTGCAGTATGATAAAAGAGACATCACTTCATTAATCATGCCTATGTTAAGTATTCTGCATGGCAGTTTACAATATGTGGCCTCCGAGATAACCACAACATGGACAACAGTAGATGAAAGGTTCTCTTATTTGAGCCACGCCCAGACACTTGTCCTTTCAGAGGCTAAAATGACAATGGGACAATAGGGACTGTGTGTGTGTGTGTGTGTGTGTGTGTGTGTGTGTGTGTGTGTGTGTGTGTGTGTGCTCTGAGTCTAACCACTCATCAAACCAAAGATAGGAGACTAAACAAGCAAACGCAAATCTGTGTTCAAAATAAACACATGAATGAGATGTCAAATGGAGCAGAGTAAAACTGTGGGCGAGCTCTTGCTTGTTGACATTCTAAGAAAGTAACACGGAAATAAAAAGGGAAGTTAAATGAGAGGAAACCAACAGTATAAATGGTGGCTCACTAATAATCTCATGTAAATAGAGAGCTTTGTTTTCTAAATTGCGTAGTCAACAAAGTTGGCGGGTTTGGCAAATATATTCAAAGTCCTGATTTATGTATTTTATTGCATCGTCTCACATTGTGTTGTACAATAGTGTGTGCTGTCGGATTGTATTGATGATATTTAGCCACGAATTTGTCATAACCTTCCGAGGGGCTGTAGACAAACATTGCCAACTCCAGCACATTTACATTGAGCTGGAAATTGAGTCGAGTATGTGCAGCGTATAGCTAAAAACTTCTCCATGGCTACTGGCCTTGGCGCAATCATTTTGTATTCTATAACCTTACATGAGAATTGTTTCTTACAGGACTACAGACGTATAATCTATAAAAAAAAAACAAAAAAAAAAAAACAGGCACCTTATTCCAAATAATTTAGTAAGCGCCGTTACAGCTTCAGCCAAAAACAGCCTTCCTTCCTCACTACTGCCACATCAGCAATATAATGTGCAGGGCCTGAGAGAGCAGCATTGAACTGATGGGTGGAGATAAACATCTTTGCTTTGGTTATAGAAAAAAGTTGTATTACTACTGCAAGCAGCATGGTATGGTTACCACTCAGACAACATACACTCGTTTGTTAAATTTAAGATAATGATGATGATGATGATGATGATGATGATGATGATGATGATGATGAGGACCACGGGTTACAGTAACTTTATGTAGGAGAAGATCCTGGGCAGACATTATCCTGTATCAAACTTAATTATGACGGCATTGTTCTTCATATTACTCTCACATCAGCCCTGGACGAAACTATCTGTGTTTCAGTATCAGTCATGTGTTAGTTCAGGTTTCACTTAGTTTTGAGGAGTATTTGTGATTACACTGTGTGCTATGCTACTCACTGCACTTATCCTGGGGCTCACTATCTATGTTACCGATCCTGCACAAAGCTACATGTTTGCACGAATGACAGGCAAAACACAAGAGGATATGATATAGTAGTGAGACTTCTTATCTCTTCGTAGTTGTGGGCCCTGTCCTAGACATCAGCCAAATAAAACAGAAGTTGTGACACACTATCACACAGATTTCCGTTAGATTGCTGTAGTGCGTACTGTTATACTGTTACTCATTAATCCAATTGAACCTTATTCTTCACATAACAAATGGTGCTTCCATTCATTGCAAGACCTACTTGAAACAGGATAAAACATTTGCTTGCATGTCCTGCCTCAGCAAGTCTCACCTTAAATATTAAACAGGAAATGTTGCATTATGCCACACTGTTAGTGTGAATGACTCCCAGCTTTGTGACACTGTATGCAAATCACTTATAATTTGAGTCAATACTAAAAAAGGGACAATTTTTGAATGTTACAAAACACAAGCTCTTTCAACACCCTTGATTTCAAAGAAACTGGGAGGAAATTAAAGATGGAAACTCCCATCCCTTAAATCTTTAAAACTTGCACCTTTCCCCTCTCTCTCTCTCCCTCTCTCTCTCCCTCTCCCCCTCTCTCTCTCCCTCTCTCTCTCTCCCTCTCTCTCTCCCTCCCTCTCTCTCTCTCCCTCTCTCCCCCTCTCTCTCCCCCTCTCTCTCTC